CTGGGGTGATTGTCTCATCCTTCATGCTTTATTCCTTTTTGATCTATTCACATTGCAAGTTTCATTTTGCCTTGAGTAGGTTTTAGATCAGCCTTAACACTCAGATAGCTCTTGCCTTCAGTAAAAGGTAAACTTCATTATCAGTATGTTTTCTATGATATATGTATAAAAGCATATATACATTATATACTCATCTACGTATTATGAAGATGTCTTATCTGATCCCATTATACTGTGGGATTTCTTTGTTCCTACATATATTCTAAAAATGCAGGAGCACTGATTTCTAAGTTAAAAGTTTGTAGATGGGAAGGAGAGAGGCAAGTGGGAGGGGGGAATCTGCCATGGGTATTTCCACAAAGTATCTGCAAGTGGAATTATTATAAGAGCTTTGAAAACTGTGTAAATGAAATGTTTGACAAAGGATCAAACAGCTGCTCAGCCAGCTGAAGAATGCACTGGAAATGTATCCCTTACGTTAACTTCTGTAGGACAAAAATTACTTGGTGTAGTCTTCAGTTCCACTTCCCATGCTCACCATTCATCCCTCTGAAGGAAGAAAGCACTGATTTTTTTTTTTTAAAAAGATTAAATTAACAAATTAGTTTGCAAGATTTTGCATCACAAGCAAAATACTGTCCTGTCCTTCTGTATCTCCCACTGGAACAGAGTGTTAACATAACTGCATAAAACTTGTTCTAGCAAAATTTTTAAATACAACTCTGCTTAAAGTGAGAAAAATATTTTGTCATTTACTTGACAAAGTCTCCAATTCTGTGCACTGACAGATCCCCAAAGTGCAACTGAAATATAAACTGCCATAGCAAAGTGCATGCTTGCAGGGGAGGCAGAATTATACTAGTTCCACATAATCGCTTAATCAGATACGTGCTGACATACTGCTCAATTCATTTTAAGTTGTGCAACGGAGCAAATTTCTACCTGATACTACAAACAGCTGGGATAACATGCCTGCCAATGCAATTCAAAGTATTAGTGATTAACACCTGCATTCTTAGCTACTCACGTCAGAGGCTGGCACAGTAACAGCCACTTTTTAAGCTCTGGGTTAGGAATATGCCTATGCTGCTGTTAGTTCTCACCTGAAGCCAAAAAGTACTTCCTAAGATCGGTTCTCTAGAAATTGAGATAACGTTCTGAGCACTAACCCTAATTTTATAGCAACTGAAGAGGAGAGGTTTGTTTAACTATGATCAGGCATGAGGAACTATTTACAACATAAATGAAAAAAAAAAAACCAACCTGCACAGTCTCGTCATTCTCCACTGCATTGTTTATAGAAAGTTTAATACCGAAATGAAGCTGAACCATAGAGCTGTCATCGCACAACTCAATGAATACTAACAGATATGTAAGGAAAAAAAAGTCACTGGCTACACGCTCGGGACTATATTATAGGCACACCACAGAATGTAAGTCAGTGACCCCCTTGATAGCAAAACAAACACACAGATTAATGCATACTGCAAAGGAAGGGTGACTACATCAATAGGTTACTGATTCAGACCATGAACTTTATCTCAAAATGTTGCATTTAACTTTTAAATAAGGTTTAGGAGAACTTGTAACATTTTGCTCACTGACACAGCTATATTTTATTAAGGACAAAAATGGGTTAGTCTATAAAAATTAAATTATAGTCCTTTGACTGTATCCAGTCAAGAGGAAAAACTCTAATTACGAGATTGTGCTGTCAAATAAATGCAAATTCACATCTTTCATATTCTGGGTTAAAAATTCAAACTCAAGTCTACTATAAATTAAAATCAATATTTGAAACATTTCAGCTTTCAGTGATAAGCAACAACCAAAAGAATCAAGTTATGAAATATACTGGTAGAAGTAGAATGAATTATTAAATAAAACTTGGAAGAATAAGGCATTTATATGACACACATTTAAATATCAATTAGGAAAAAAACCAATAAAGGATGATGAACTGAATCATTTCTGTTACAACCAATACAGATTAATGCATACTGCAAAGGAAGGGTGACTACATCAATAGGTTACTGATTCAGACCATGAACTTTATCTCAAAATGTTGCATTTAACTTTTAAATAAGGTTTAGGAGAACTTGTAACATTTTGCTCACTGACACAGCTATATTTTATTAAGGACAAAAATGGGTTAGTCTATAAAAATTAAATTATAGTCCTTTGACTGTATCCAGTCAAGAGGAAAAACTCTAATTACGAGATTGTGCTGTCAAATAAATGCAAATTCACATCTTTCATATTCTGGGTTAAAAATTCAAACTCAAGTCTACTATAAATTAAAATCAATATTTGAAACATTTCAGCTTTCAGTGATAAGCAACAACCAAAAGAATCAAGTTATGAAATATACTGGTAGAAGTAGAATGAATTATTAAATAAAACTTGGAAGAATAAGGCATTTATATGACACACATTTAAATATCAATTAGGAAAAAAACCAATAAAGGATGATGAACTGAATCATTTCTGTTTTACAACCAATCCTCTCTAGAAGTGACCGAGGATAATAAAGAAACTAAGCTTGCAATGTAAATTTCACTCAATTTGGAATAGTTAGGTTAAAAATTTAAATTTATTCACTAGCTGAAATTTATAATCTCTAAGCTTAAAATGAGTAAGAACTGCATTTATAGAAGTAAATTAAATAAAATAGAACAGTGGTGCCTGCTATGCACAGCATGCTAGTTACCTCCTAAAGGGAAAATCCAAGGATCTGCTCAGAGACAATATAAAATTGCACAGAAAAAAACACCCCACCCAGAAGTTTCTTTTAAGAGCTCCTTATTTAGTATATTGCAAACCAACTTCTTCACAGGAGTAAGGACAAGTTATGCATCAGTGTATGTCTAAAATCTATTAAAACAGTTCCAGTTTGCATTTTCAACGTGCCACAGTCACACTGGCCAGACTGCAGGCTTGCCTGCTAGTCTGAGAAAAGATGCACAGCTGACTATCCCATCCTACACAGGCAGCACACAAGTGGCTGTCTCATAACACATCCGCAGGTGTGTGCGTGCACGCGTGCAAGCCCACTTATCCAGAAGAGTTGCACTTTAATCTGTGAGGTGTTTACTTGACTGGAAACGCTTTTCCAACCTTCACTTGAAGGAAAAGATTACAGATACGTTTCTGGAAGGCTGATACAGTTGGAGGTTGTACTGAAATAACGTGAAGGAACCAGGGAAGATATTTTAAAAAAACCCCCAACAAACAAGCAACACCAAACAACTGTTAAGAATTAAATGAGAACTGACTTTTTTGTCTGTGTCTATATACCATGTTGATAGCCCTTTGAATCACCACAGCATCCATTCAAACCTATTAAAATACTATAGAAGCTGCGGTGTGCAGAGAGCAAAGCCTTCAAACATTCATTTAGAGATACTCAGACTTTAAAAGTACCTTGCAAGCAAGCCCTAAGTATCTCCCATCCTCACCACCCTTTCCAAGTAAATTTGAAATAAAATACTCCAATAACATATAGCTTGAAAGAGACTAATCTTCCTTTAAACATATAGCTTTTTTCTCTCTACACTGGAGAGCTGCTAAATATTTTACAGAAATACAGTCACTGGATGGTGTTACCCAGGACGAAACAAAAGTGGCAGCATTTCAGCTACTGTTGACAGGTAACAACAATTCTTACTATTTTTCTGTAATTCCTAATGTAGTGATCTGAAACTACCGGCACAAGCAGAACCAGCCGATTGAGAAGCACTTTGAAAATACTACTGAATAGTTTCCTAATGCAAAGACCCAATGTTACTGTTCAAGACGGATAGCTGCACACGTTTGCTAGGTAGAGGAGGATTTTGCTGTTACTGAAGGACTTGCTGAGAAAGGACAGACTACAGCTTGATTTATATTAACAGCATAACAACAGTCCTTTACATCAGTAAACTCCATGCGCTAAAGCGTTGCCCTCAGTTGCAAGATATGCAACCCCAGAGAGCAGCTTCCCCTTTAATCAGGGTTCTGAAGTCCCAGCCTGCCTTCTGCTCCTTGAGCCTACCGCTTGGTACAGAGGTCACATCTGCGTTGAGGCACACCAGCGAGTTACTGCTAGCTTGCCCTTTTCAATGCCCAGCATCTGAACGGCTGTCTGCAGCAAGAGCAGGATGCTACACCAACTCCAACTCCCACAAACACGCTTTCTTGCCACCCCACCCCGCCCTCAAGTCCCTAATAAAGCTGTAGTCTTCTACTCACTCAACGTGGTGGTCTAAACACTGAGACAGTTCTCTCTAAATCTCAAATGCCTTCCATGATGCTGAATAAAAAAAAGCAATTTATAGAAAATTGTCAAAAGGCAATAGAGGCGAGAAGCAGAATCACAGCTAGCTCCCTCTTGAACACATTTATCTCCAAATATGCTAACTTAATATTAGTTACAGTAAGGGAAAAGCCCCCTTAGACTTAGAAAATGAATATGGCAAATATATCCATTTGTGCCCTCCTCTCCCCCCCAAACTCCCCAAAATGTTCTTTTTATCCCTCTCTCCCTTTTGCTTGATGTTTTCTTCTATGGATGAAAGCAAAGATGACTACACTTTCCTTCCCTTAAGATGAACCTTCAGAGTATTCGAATTGCTAGAGTAAATAAAAGAAAGGAGGGAATTACTAATTTAATGCTCTTCCATCTCTTGGGGAAAAAGCCCATGTAATTAACTGTAATGAGATTAAACTAACTTGTTATTAATTTCCCAGTGCTGGGAAACTAAATCTGAGACCCATAAGACTGTGTATTAACAGCTTTATCAACATTTGGCCCGCATCCTTCAGTTTTTACACCAGTTTCAAAGGAAAATTATTAACTTCATTGCGTTGCAAAGTCACTCAGAAGTGTAAGAAATTGAATTTGGTCCCTTTAGGTAGGAATGCCAGATTCATCTGTAGCTGAAGACTGTGAATGGGTGGAGCCAAAACCAACAAATGCCATCCAACACAAATAAACAGAAGTATAATTACTGAATTCTTACCAAAACTTTTTTCCATTACTTCTTTCTGACACATATCTTGAACATTCACCGTACAATTCACGATGAACTCTGGAGCAGAGCAGTCATTATTTAGCTGGAACTCCTCACACTGGTAGCACTGTATTTGCAAACCCAAACCTGGAACAGACAGAATTTTGCTCAGAATAATAATGGTAATACTATTAAAAAACCAAACAAACAATCAACACGTGCCAGAAATCGTCCTTATCTTTCCCTCTTCGCATTTTGCTGTTCGTAACTACACAGCAGCCCAGCCAAAGTACGACTTTGACAAAAACAACGTAAAAAACCCGCGTCTCCCACTTAGCTGAGGCTATGCCTTATGTGCTCAGCACCTGGTTATGAAGCTGGCTCCTTTCCGCGGGGACTCCGGGGCGGACAGGCGGCTGT